AAATAGCAAGAAAAAGAAAAAAATTCCAAAGTAATAAAAAATGTTTTCATGGAACAAAGTAGTTAAGCATTTGCTTAATATTTGATCAAATAAGATTTACTTACATTTTCTTTGAAGTGTTTTAATTTTTTTAATGTCTGTGGAGTATTTGTATAATACCATGATGTATATTTATGTAGAACTGAAATTATAACAGTACAAATATCACTATAGGAGAAAAATGACATTTTAACGTATATTGTTCTATCCAGTCAAATTGTGAATCATTTTGAAGTTCATTATAGAGATATTGATAAATTGTGTGGTTGTCCTAATGTTTTTTTAATTATTATTTCATATCCAGCTGAGGTTTTCAGTTAGAATCATCAGTTGGTAAATTCCAAAAAATGGATAATTGAACTTGGTTTAAACCTGATAATTGTATACGGTTTAGTTAAACCTAATCATAGCGCTGAGTGATGACATACTTTTAATACAGTATTCAATTTACTTGAACACAAGAGTTCCTTGTACATATTTTGCCTATTCACTGTTGATATGTACGTAGTCAACTGACAGTAAAAAAATAACACTAAAAATATGGTACCAAAAGGAAAATTGTATAGGAGAACAGTAAATAGTAGCCTCACTGCAACAAATACTTATGTAAATATGCTTGGGCTTCCAGTTATAAATTTTGTAATTTTGTCATTTATTTATATCCTATAAAAGCACACAAAATAAAATGAAGTTGTACAGTCCCAGTGCTTTGTGCATCAGTTTGTCATTGCAAAAGGACATTGCAAAAGGGGCCTGATCCAAAGGATACTGAAATCAGTGAAAGGTCCTCCCCGCCCCTTTCCCCGATTTCACTGGGCTTTGGATCTCGTCCCACGCAAACCCGGGCATTGCTGTGGAGGCGGTTTTGGAATACAGATTTTGTTTACAAATGGTAAATGCTTCATACTTTAAAGGCCTTAATTAACAGGTTCTTCGGTGCACTGCTGAACTGCTGACTTCCCATATTTAATCGCACCCTGTAAAGGCTCACGCAGGGAGTTATGTTAAAACACATTCGCTTCAGGCACCGAAAGTACAAAGTGGCCAGATTTTCAGGCTATAAAACTGGGGCACCTCTTATGTAGCTGAGTGACCCCTAAAACTAAAGGATGGGGCGGGAGCTGCAGCACAGCTCTAAGCAGATGTAAGGGAAAGGAGTGAAACAACAGCAAGAACTGGCAACTTGCAGGAAGGATTTGATCTAGGTTCATCAAAGAGATGTCAAGCAGGTAAAGTGGCACAGTAAGCTGCTCGACTTGTTTGGGAGGGAGAATCAGGGTAAAAAAGACTGAAGATGGCTAGCAAGACTGATGGAAGATGAGACAGATGGAAGACTACTGGGGCAAGGAATGAGTGTAAGGAGTAAAGTTTGGGATACAGCGAGTCAGTGAACGATTGGAGCCCCCACAGCAGACATAAACTGAAACTGGAAGGAGAGAGAAGAGTTAACAGGCATTAGGCAGTTCTGTATTTGCAGAAACCTGGGATCTTAGAGGGAAATATTTCCCTCGCTAGCTGATACTAGCATCAGCCAGTTGGAGAGAAGTCCGTGGGGTCCCCTCTGGCATGGGATGGTGGTTCATTTCTTCAGATATGAAGAGCCTTCTACAAACCTGCACTAACCCAAAGCAGTTACCACTTGATCTTTAGTGCTTTTTGGTCAAGGTGATGTTCCATGAAAAGTTCCTAGTATGCTGGAAGTGTATCGGCGGCAAGGGGACAATGGTCAGTCTTAAAAGTGAAGGTAGGGAAAAAAGCTAGACACCTCCAAAAGATAAGAAAGTGAGGAGAACTGCTATTCTTGACCTCTACTCAAGGTAAGAGGGAAGCAGAGGCAGTCAAGGGGAGAACGTGAAGAAACTGGACTATTTGGATGTTGCAAAACCAAGAGTTAATTGCAACAACTGCCTTACAGTGGGAGGGTGGAGAACGGGCAAAAGAAGAGAGATGATATGAAAGTAGACTGCATTTGACATAAGATAAGGAAATTGGAATCAAAGTGAGGTAAGTGTGGGTGATAAAGGATTTTGAGAATCATTTGGGTAGTGAGGTCTCTAATATGCAAGGTGAAAAAGCTGCTGCTGGGAAACTGGAGATTGGAGAAACTCCTGAGGAAACAACGGGGAAATTCTGTTTTGTGGAGGTGGGGGTTTTCCTCAAGCAGATGTTGCATTTCAGACTGGACGTGGTGACTCCTCCAACCTGGCCTGGTGTTTATTAAAAGCCAGAGGAGCTGCTGCTCACAGCTGGCAGGAGACGACACTCGGCATATCTGGTTCTGGTATTCTGCCCATAAGTTTATGAGAGGCTGCTCCTCCTGCAGAACCACAATGCTATGCATGTCTTGCAGTTTGAAGCCAGCATCTCAGCACCAAAAACTGGCATGGCCTTGAAGTGGTGACTATTGGGAAGAGAATTAGCAGGTCATGAGAAAGTTGCATCAGTCCTCAGCATGCTAGACAACTAATAAACTTTCACATTCAACTGTGAAATAGTTCATAGCTTCCTTTCTAGATTAAAACAGGCAGTTTGTGCCATGTGCAGAATTCCCATTTAATTTTGCCCTAGATTTCTTTCAATGTGTGCTGTTCAGCTGTCCTGCTTCACACTTCACTGGAGGATGATGTTTAAGATGTCATCAAGACAACAGTCTAGAAATAGTAACTTCAACTGTCTCCAAACTACCAGCCCAAAGAACAATTGACTCCATGGCGGAACCATGTGGCAGTGACAAGCATGTAAGTGAAAGACATGGCGTAAGGATTAGAGACAATATTTAGATGTGGGCACTTATTTAAGAAGATAATCCGTTATCTCATGTAAAAAGACCAGCTGAAGAGAGTGGGAGAAAAAAGGACTCTTAACGTGCTGGAAATATTGACAGGATTTTCAGCTCACTGGAAAGCACAGGGGGGATAATGCTCAGGCTTCTACTGAAAAGCTCTGTAACTGTTTGGTGCTCTGTAACTTCTGTAGGTGAACCAACTTCTCTGCTAAATGAGCAAAGCGACCATACTGCTATCAAGTCCACCCTTGAATACACTGGTTCTAGTTAACTTTCACGCCTGTGAGCTGACAACCCAAGCCAGGCGGAGGCTGATCACCACCTCAGCTAACCGAAGCAAACATATGAGATTCACTTGCAGCCGAAGTTCACACTAGGACGTAGATTTTGTGGAACTGGTGGATGATTTCCTTCCTACAGACCAGGCAGTCACCCTCACCCTCCTTACAATCCTGAATGCAACCAGCCCCAACACCACTGTCCCTACTGAAGAGGCAGAAAAGAGAAATTGGGGACATGGCCCATGGTCCTTGACTTTCAGGAAGGATATGCTCCAAATGCAGGAATGGGAAACAGCACCTCCATGCCTGGCTCCTGCTCTTCTACAATACCACAGGCAAACTCGTCTCCAGTCCTACTTAGCATTTATATGCATTTGCTAGTGCCACATCTTTCACCCTTCCGATGTGCAAGTCAGGTAGCTTGGTATCTTTGAGAATGTGGGCCTGGGTAAAGAGGTAACAACTAGGCAGACAAAAATGCTACCGATCAGTATGTAAATGAAAAAAAAGTCTCTCTCTCTCTCCTCTTGCCATCGAAAGCTCGGAAAAGAAAACTACTTTTTTTATCAATCAAGAAAGCTGAATTCAAATCACTAACCACATTAAAAAAAAAAGTGAAGCTTAGACAGAAACTGAGGGCCTTAGATTTCTTCCTCACACATAGAAAATATATCACAGATTTAACACCATAAGCTCACTTAATTGTAAGATGCATGCCTTTCTGTCATTTTTTTAAACATGGCAATTCCTACCTTCAAGTGATTAGAAAAACTGCTCAATTTCTCCAGATCATTATCCAAACCTAAATTTATTCTAATATTAAATCCTTTTAAAAAACAAAA